TGTTTACAGGCAGTATGTTAGCCTTCACTTCAGCCATTGTGTCAGTAGCATTTTGATCTGCACAAAATGCAATGATATCATCCATGACAAATAATCTTCCAACCTGGGGTGGGCTGCTACAGGTTCGCCTGAGTTCGGGAGAACCCTTAGCTAACATTATGGCCGGTTTAGAGAACTTCCAAATCCCACTCCTGGCTGGCCCCTCCCACCCTGCCCTGCCCAGCCCCTCCCAGGATTCTCCACACAACCCTTTTTGGATGCCAGGAAAGTGCAGAGCCCAGGCGGAGGCTCAGGGAGGGAAAAATGGGCCTCCTAGAAGTTCCAGAAGACCAGAAACAGGCCGATTTCTGGCCTCCAGAAGGCTTCTGGACCGTGGGGGAGGCCCCCACCATGGTGTAAGAGGCCAAACTAGGCCATGCCAACCATGGCCATGCCCACCCAGCAACTGGGAAGAGAACCAATTGCTGAAATTTTTGAAGCCCACTCCTGCTTCCAACCTCTATTTGGTTATGGTTAAGGAAGGAAGAATCCTGACTTTATGAAACAGTCTTTCCGCTGTTACACTTCTATTCTATTCTGCTAAGAAGTATGTTTTCATGTTTAGCCAAAATCTGCTTCCTTTGCAAATTCCACACAGTAGTCCTATTTTAACTTTGGGATACATTCCAAAAGATATGTCTACTGTTTGTGATCTGTAACAAAAACCAGAGAGCAGTTAATACATTGGAATGGAGAAGAAAGACAAGAACCTCAGTGGACTGAACAAATGATACCTAACCAAATCTTCTTAGTTTGAAATGGTTCCTGACATGGGCAGCATAGAGAATCATCTATGAATGAACTGATAATTGCTTTTTAAAAAAGCACAGTTACAATTAAGCATCTATTCACAGTATTAATTTCTGTGAACACTGGCTCATGTCGTCTTCTGATAATCACTGAATTTTCTTGCAATTTTATGCTGGTTTGATTTAAAAAAAATGTTGGATGCTGGCAGGAATGTATGCTTTCTTTTCTTTGTGCTAAATAATAGCAAGTAAGATTCCATTTTCCCCAATCCATGATCTAAAATCAAATCTGAGCAGGATGCCTTAGACCAGTTTGGATTATGATAGGTTCTTTCCTCAGCAATTGGCTAACCCTGGTTCTAGCTGAATTTTCTCTTGATGGCCCTTGTTTCATTTCTTGAAAAATTCATTGATTTCCCCAAGACTACAGTATTCCAGTTTTGTTAAGCATTCTGAAACTGAAAGGACTTCTGAAGTTTTTCTGCAACACTGATTCAAGTACCAGTAAATGGCTTGTTAGATAACAGTGTAATATAATCAAGAATGGTTCATTGTAAATGCATTATTCTATATGCAAGCTCTATCGTTTTCTTATCCCCACTGAGTATTTTGCTGTAAAATAATTCTAANGCACACAGTAACCACTTCGCCACCACGGCTCATCAAATGGGAAAACATTATCCTAAAAGCAGTGATCTGATTTTGCTTCTGCCCTTCTATCTTTTCTACTCTATAGCATTCCTTGTATCCTGCTAGGAAGAAAGAAACTTCTTTCCTCATTCATAGAAATTTTCAACTGGGGATAGGTAAAAGAGACAGGCAGGCGGGGTATTCTTACATTGATTTTTCCAGCACTAGAAGGAGGGCCCCCTTCTATGCAAAATAGTAAAATTCCTTCCTTCCAAGTTTGTTTTGACCACTTAAAATCTGACTTTAAGAATCACTTCTCTCTCACTACTTTTCAGATTCAATGTGTGTATTATGGCTTATGGGCAGACTGGCAGTGGGAAAACATACACAATGTTGGGCCCACAGCTTGAAAACAGTTTCTGTTTCTCAGTGGAAGATGAGACAGAATTAGGAATCATTCCTAGAGCCAGCAAAGAAGTATTCAGGTATTGATTATATTGAACCTCCGTGACTATGCACGTATGTATTTCAGTTTTCTTTCAGAAAAAATTATCTGCATATTACCATAAGAGTCTCAAAGTTGCAGTTTCAATCAGAGAGACAAGGGTGGGGGGACGTATCCCAACAATGCATTCTTTAAAAAGCTTAATAAAATCCATGTCTCAAAAGGATACTGTAATAGGTTTTTTTTTTTACAATCGGTCTAAGAGTGGAAAGTTTCCAGAGTTGTTTGGCAGATTGTTACAGAACATAAAGGCCTTTCTGAGGAAGTTTCTGTGATGTAATCATCAGCCCGATGACAGATGGACATCATTAATACATTTACTGTACTGGATCTTATTTTTCCTCAATCAATCATGAAAAGAGCAAATCATCTGAGTGGAACTTGAATAGTTCCTGTGGCCTATAATTTAAATAATTGTGAACCCCCATTCAGAAAATACGAAAGTAGGCATTTAACACTTATCAGTACACTTAGATAAAATAAATCAGCTGACAGCAAATGGTTGCAGTTTCAGTACAGAATTATTTACACTTTTCATTCATGGTGTTTCTGTACAAGTCTGTCTCTGTTGCAGTGATTGATGCCTTTTCTCCATTATTCTTTGTGATTTTCAATCAGGGCTTTGTATATTTACTGTGCAAATAGGCTTCCTCTTTTTACAATTATCAGATTGTTCTTTCAAATTTGGGGATAGTCTTTTAATAAAGGATAATGGCAGATGTGCACAAGCAACTGGGTGCCCCTTCCACATCTGAATCAGACACTGTATGATCTACAAAATACCCTTGAGCATTTGAATTATTGAGAGATCAAATGAAAAGTGCTATCTGTCAAGGAACCTAGTGAACTTGTAGGCAGATAGGCTGAAATTATGAGGAATTGAATGTAGAACTATGTCAGTGGAAGAAACTTTGCTGGCTATGTTTACTGCAAGTTGTCCTGTTAAAGACAGAACAATCAATAATTTAAACATCAGTCTTGAAACGGTGCAGTTCTTTATGCAAGCTGTTGCAGGATATGACTTGAGTGTTTGTACATAAACTCTGAGATCTTATATGCCAGAGATTGAATATAACACCTTGAATTGTTATATCTATGCTGTTACATTTCAATTCTATTTTCATACAAAGAGATCTATTAGTTCTGGGGTGGGGGAATTGACTTGCTCAAGCAGCCTTCTAGTCAAGGAAGACCACATTTTGACTCAGCCTGATAGATACTGTACATTAAATGATAATTGTACACTAGGCTTTGAATAATTATCACTGCATCTTCTTGGGTCAAAAATAGAACATCTACATAAAATACCTATAAAATACTCTGTCTATAGTACCCTGAGACCTTCCAACAACTTAATATAGAAGATTGGTAATGCATTTGTTAATAAATACATTAATAATTATTATTAAAAGATATTTTGCAATATTTTTTTAATGTAACCTTACAATAAAATAAAATTCATTTATCTAGTCATATCTTCAGTCTACCTGGGTGGGCTAATATGTGCAGTAATAATAGTGCAATAACATCAGTGTTGGAGATCTGCAGGCACAGACCTCCCACCCCCACTTTTAACTGCTTGATCCAATAGGATTTTTCCTAAGTTTCTATCTCTGACTGCTAAGCCACTGGTGTCTCCTGTCTGTTTTATCTGAATGTTTCCTAGGCAGCAAGCATCTCTTCCCCTCCTTCCTTAAGATCATCCACACACATTCCATTAAAACAGCAGAGCTCTACAGTACAATAAGCAGTGAATAAATACTTCAAATCACATTTTAGAAAAACTCAGGTATCTCAGAAAATCAACATATATTAAAGATTATGGACTTTTAATATCCATTCAAGCCGTAATAATCTGCTGGATCACTGACGTAGCTTATTTAGGTTGTTTTTTTTATTCCAGTGTTTTAAGTCCTTTTTCTTCTTTCAGGCTTCTTTCAGAAAAGTCACCAGGGAGCCATTGGGTTGAGGTTTCTGTTGTAGAAGTGTATAATAATGAAGTTTTTGATCTTCTGGCCAAAGACAACTCTGGAAAGCTGAATGGTATCAAAAGGGGTATAATGACAAATAAAGAAGGAAAGAATGACATTCCACTTCTTACCAATGAGTGAGTATTTCAGGGAGTGTCTTTGAGTAATAACTTGTTGTGCAACATGTGTCATTGGGCATTGTCAAAAAATGTGAGCTTAACATCTATCATAGGGTTCACTGACAAAACCGCAAAGCCCTTATCCGCGCCGACATAAGCATGGAGGGCAAATCCACACCGTCCGAAGCGCTAAGGAAAAAGGTGACCCTAGCGCGACGACATAAGCGCGGAGGGCAATCCACGCCTTCCAAAGCGCTCAGCACCCTAACCCTAACCCTAAACCTATCCCTAAACCTAACCCTAAACCTAACCCTAAACCAAACCCCTAAACCTAAACCTAAACCTAACCCTAACCTAACCCTAAACCTAACCCTAAACCAAACCCCTATACCTAATCCTAACTCTAACCTTAACCTAACCCTAAACC